TGGTTGGGAACAAAGCAGGCAGATGTCTTCCTCTCAGGAAGCTCACGTTCTTTGGAAGGAATCAGATAAGATCTATATGAGTATATGATGTGCCAGGTGGTGATAAGAGCCAGGAATTAAAATATTTCAGGAGAGGGGTTTAGACGGTGAACAGGAATGGGAAGAAGTGCAATTTTAGGTGGGGCTCTTAGACCATCGTCTCCCACCTGGCTCCTTGCATTGGGTTTCTAGTTGGTCTCTTTGCTCTTACTCTTGCTTCCCTAGTGTGTATTCATCCAGCAGTCACTTGGAATAAAAGTTAGATCATATCTCTAACCTGCTCAAAATGCTGCCATGGCTTCTCCTTAGAATAAACTTCACAGTCCTTGTCTCTTGGCCTATAAGACCCTACAAAGAGGTTTCCCTTTGTTACCTCCCCGACCCCATTTCTTTCTATCTTTCCCTGGGTTACTGCACTCTAGGCACATGTTCTTGAGCCTCAGTAGCCTCCCCCCACCCCCCGGGGCCCCTTACACCAGCTTTCCTCTGTCGGAAGTACATTTCCCTGCGATCCCTGCAGTCCCTTGAGCTGTTGCTCCCTTGTTTCATTTGGTCTGCTTGACACCCCCCCAGAGCGGCCTTCCGTGTCCACTCTATCTAAAGTAGCATCTTACCATCTCTCTCTTCTCAACTCCGTTTTTCTTCATAGTTCTTATTTTCTCTTGCCTTTGTATTACATATCTATCCACTTAGTGGATGTATGAGAACATACATGCCCCGAGAGCAAGGATTTGGGCTCTTCCTTCACCATTTTATCTCCAGCACCTGGAATAGTGATGACACTTTGAAATATAATTATTTGTGGCAGGAATGAATGAATGAGCATGCTCTAAGGAAGAATTGCTGAGCAATGGGGGAAAATAATAGACAGAAAAGTGTCCAATATTTTGAAGGTTTTAAAAAAGATTCCATGTAGTGCTTTTCCATAATCCTAATTGTCTCCCATTGTTACCTGACGATACCATCCATAGCTGCAACCTCACCTCAACCCTCTGTCTGTATCTTTGCTTACACCACAGAGAGTTTTTACCAATGAACATAAGGGCATACTGTGTAGCTGCGTATTCTAGATGTGAAAGTTTGGTGATTGCATTTCCAATTTCTAAAATATTTAAAATGGATTGATTTATGGTTGTGTTCTATTTTTTTAACTGTAGCCTCACCAAATGCCCCAAGACTTGGCCCCATGGAGCTGACTGTCATTATTACAGTGCCTGTTTGCCTCCTGTGCGTGGTTGCCATGCTGACCATCTGGGCACGCCAAGGCCGACAGTGCACCTACAGGAAGAAAAAGAGACAGAACGTGGAGGAACCGCTGTCTGAGTGCAACCTGGTGAACGCCGGGAAAACACTTAAAGATCTGATTTATGACGTGACCGCCTCTGGTTCTGGCTCTGGTATGTGCCCATTGTCCATTTTTCAGTAAGAAAACTCTTATTTTAAAAACAAATAAAAACATTTTTAACCAAAAAAGGGCCCAATATTATGAATTCTGTTGTTAAAAATGATTGATCGGGTACATTGTAAGCTCTGGGATAGAAACTTCTTTTTGTATTTGATGAAGGAAAACAACTGTCATGGCCTAAGGAATTAAGTCTTCTCAACTCCCTTTTATAGCTTCCTTCACAACTTATTTCTGAAGTAAGAAAGCAGTTGCTCATTTCTCCTCCCCATGTCTCACCCATTGTGGTTAGTAATAATCACTGTTGCTCTATCAGCAGTGTTTTATTGATGTAAAATAATTAGGGTTCTGTATTAAGGCATTGAGTTCTGGGAAAAAGATGCCGGTTATGCAAAGTAGTGTGTCCTTAGAGCACTTTTGAGTGTGGTTGTGAAGGTCTTCAGAATCCGTAGGCAACCCCTGGAATGTGTGTGTGACATTAATAGGGAGCTTGCCTGGAATTAAAATCAAGAATATGTTCTTAAAGCATAGAAACAGTAGATTCAAGGGTGCAACACAGCATTCCTGTGCTGGCTTTTGCTGCTTAAGGTGATAGTTCTCTTCCTCTAATGGAACTCCAGAACCCCTGGTGAAGCATTCAAAGGAGCAGGCTGGATTATAGCTGAAATGAGCCTTTCTTACAGCACAAAGCATTTGAGGGTTTTTTTT